CACAACAACCACAACCACAACAACCACAACCACAACATCAACAACAACCACAACATCAACAACAACAACCACAACCACAACATCAACAACAACAACCACAACCACAACATCAACATCAACAACAAAAACCACAACCACAACATCAACAACAACATCAACAATAACAACATCCACAACAACAACGACAACAACAACAGCAATACAGCGTCAGTACTATGTTGAATGATTTGTAGTAGCCCAGACGATGATTACTAGAAATGAGGATATCTAAAAGATTTGGTTTTAGCTAATGAATGATCGTCATTTAGATACACAAGATCAGGGAACATTTCCTATCGGAAGTCGAAATAGAGACAATTTTTGATGATTAGATTTGATCTAAACTTATTTAAGTATTGAGTATTCTCGTTCTGTTCAACAGTATCAAACGAAAACATTGTTGATAAAAAGATTTGCATGTGATAGAACTCATTCATCATTTTAGTAATCACTTACATCCATCCACTCTCGAAATGATTCGAATAATTCTACATTTTGCAGTATTAGTTGACATAATCTTGATATGAAACATGTCTATCAACACCTAATGTCATGATTTAAATCGCACTTGTATAGACTTGAGTAATTCAATTGATAAGCAATTTATGCACATGAGAAATTCGAAATTGTTTTAACAGCAACATTTTTAACACCCTGTTCTGCCTTATTTAGAATGGACAATAACAGGAAGCATGCATGTCGCACGAGCATATCACACAGCATCCACATTAGCAAATGGATCGGTATTAGTTACTGGTGGATACAACGGTAGTTCTTTTAATAGTGCTGAATTGTACAATCCATCAATAGCCACTTGGACAACCACAAGTAGCATGAGTAACTCACGATATCAGCACACAGCATCCACATTAGCAAATGGATCAGTATTAGTTTCTGGTGGAGCCAACCCTAGTACTCTCAAAAGTGCTGAATTGTACAATCCATCAAAAGGCACTTGGACAACCACAGGAAACATGAATTTTGCACGAAATCTTCACACATCATCCACATTAGCAAGTGGAAAAGTATTAGTTACTGGTGGATACAACAGTGCTTCTCTTAATAGTGCTGAATTGTACAGTCCATCAACAGGTACTTGGACAACTACAGGAAGCATGCATGTCGCACGACGTCTTCACACAGCATCCACATTAGCAAATGGATCAGTATTAGTTGCTGGTGGATTCAACGTTAGTTGTCTTAATAGTGCTGAATTGTACAATTCATCAACAGGCACTTGGACAACCACAGGAAGCATGAGTACCACACGAGGTTATCACACGGCATCCACATTAGCAAATGGATCAGTATTAGTTACTGGTGGATGCGGCGGTAGTGCTTGCAATAGTGCTGAATTGTACAATCCATCAACAGGCACTTGGACAATCACAGGTAGCATGAGTGTCGCACGATCTTCTCACACAGCATCCACATTAGCAAATGGATTCGTATTAGTTGCTGGTGGGTGCAACGGTGCTGCTTGCAATAGTGCTGAATTATATAATCCATCAACAGGCACTTGGGCGACTACAGGAAACTTAAATGTCGCACGATATATGCATACAGCGTCCACATTAGCAAATGGATCAGTATTAGTTGCTGGTGGATATGGCAGCAGTGCTATTCTCAATAGTGCTGAACTTTATTAATTGATACAGATAGGATGATATTTTCTTTTGTAAACTCAATCATAATTTTTTCTATATGTAATCAAACTATTTAATCATTCATATTTCTTAATACATTATCATTCACCAAATAATATATGAGTTGCAGTAATATCTCGAAATCATATTGTATGACGGTTGTTGAAAAAGAGCCATAATTGATAAAAAATAGATCATTATTTCTACAACTAAGTGGATATAAATACAGATGTGAAGAATATTAATCATTTGTTGCTCCCAATCCAAGGGGAAAAGAACGGGATCTTGCAATCATAGATTCGATATGATTTTTTCGGAGTCTTTTGACTTCTTTGGATTTCATAAATTTCCAAGATTTCTGTAGGATTCCGAGTTTACATTCTTTTCCCCTTGATTAATTCTCACAAAATATCAACATGGATATCAAATAATCTTACTAAATATTTATTTTTATCATAAAACTGAATTAATATCAATCTAACTGAACATTCATTTATAGATAATCTGGAAAAAGTATTTCCCTGGAAAATTTCATTAAAAATGAAATCAAGTATTGATTGAAAATGTAGTTTTTGAATAAAAAAAATATTTTAAATTTAAATAATAATTTTAAAGTACTTGTAAAATGGGAGAAGGAGCAATATTCTTTTTTATAGTGCAACATTTTTAGAAGATTAAGGAATTGAGTGAAACATTATTAATTCAGATTTGAATGTAAGATACATAAAGCTAGAAGCCTGTTCTGTAAAATACATGCCAAATTATCTAATATAAATATAATTATTCTAATTGAGTATTAAGTATATTTCAAAAGTTTCACAAAAGAATAAAATAATCGTTTACTACATGTAATACTTTCATTTTTAGAATTTATTTCAAATGTTGCCAATGCAGAATACAATTATTTTAGAAGTCAAACTATCATAAAATTTAGCTGTATTAACATATATAATAAATAATATTAGCTAGGTTAGGAATAATTTTGAGAACAATTCCATTCATTTCAACTTTCCAAATAGTTTATACTTCAGTTGATAAAAACGACTTTATTTATTCTAGTTTTAAAAATAGCTACCTGGACGAAAATTAAGCATTTGTTTTTGACTGTTAAAGTTAAGTTGCAAAGTTCGTCATTTATTTTATAAAAATTTTCAAATACTCTCAGTTCTGGCAACCGGAAACTCAAACATTGAATGATTTTTTTTCGAGTTTATGCAGCTTATGAAAATATCATTTCGATATATTATTTATATCTTGTTCATAATTCTCATTAAATCTGTCCATTTCATGAGACACTTTCAAAGTTAGTTTACTGTACCGTAACATAAAAAAATTGATCTGAAGCTTCTTAAAGTATTGAAAAAAAGGAATATATTTTCATTTGTTTAAATAGGGCACTAAATTATTAGATTTTTGATTATTTGAGTGTTTATTCTCCAAACAAATTTTCATTAGCATTTCAAGTGTATTTTCATTAATTGTCGTTTTGCACAGTAATATTGACAGAGTTAGTACTAAGAACTTGTTATGCTCCTTCCAACAATCATTTTAATCATTGCTGTATTCCACGATAATCTGTTAATCTAAAAAACGATAATATATTGATAAAATACAATAAATTGAAAATAATATGAAATAGAAAGAAGAAATTCTAAGCACGACGAATGCAGACATGCTGTATGTCCAATAAGTTGATAATTTATTTTCATATCAGTTTGTAGATTCAAAATAAAAAAGAGGTGAATCTGAAACAACTTGACAGTTACAAAGAAATATTTCATAGATGATTATTTTTTTGAAAGTAAAATAGAATAATATTATTTAATTTTCTTTTCATCATCACACATTTTGTCTGACATCTATATCTTTCTTGTTACATTATATATATCGCAAGTATTTTTATTATTTTTACTATAATCCAAGAATTGGTTAATAAATCACCAATCAACATTTTTGTGTTTGGGAGAGAGAAAGAGAGAGAGAGAAAAAGAGAGATTCGATTTCAGTATAATACTATCTGACCTATTTCATAAAAATAAATACAGATATTTATATTCACACTCTATCCACTTACTTTATTTAAAAAAAAAAATGAATCGTATTGCCTGCAATGCTATTGTTCGAGCAACTCGAATTAATCCTGCTATAAGATCCGCTGCTCCTTATCGTTGGGTTAGTTAAATATTTTCTATTTAATAAAATAAAATAATTTATTGACTATTTTTTTTTGTAGAATTCCAGCAATGCTGCTAATGCCCAACAAGGACAAGGATCGCCATTTGCAGCTGGTGCTGCTGGTGGAGTTGCTGTTCTTCTTGGAGGTAAGTTTTCCAAGTCACGAGGTAGTACACGTGCGCAGAGTTTTCAGTACAAAATTTTAGAGTGAATCGAAACAAACATTTTTTCTGTTTTTTCTCTTTTACTATAGGTTTTGCATGGTATCATTTCAGTGGTACACGACAAGTTGTTAATACTGCACGTGATGCTCTTAACAAAGCTCAAGAACTCAAATCAAAAGTGAAAGAAACTGCTGCTGATTCAGCTGATAGTGCAGCTAATACTGTCAATTATTTACGTTCAGCTTCTGCTACTTTAATTCCTGGTTCAGCACCTTTTCTTGGCAAAGTATTTGATCAAATTGAACAAATTAGCAAAGAACATGGTGATGATGTTAAAAAAATCTTTGATGAAACATATAAAGATTTCGAAAAACTAGCTAAACAAGGTAGTTTAGATTCACAAACAGCTAGTAAAGCTGTTGATATTCTTCAAAAACGTGTTAAAGAACTTCAAGAATTAGCTGGTGAAGCTGGTAGTGATGCATACAATAAATTAATCGCTGAAAATCCTAAACTTAAAGATCAAATTTCAGAACAATATAATTCATTAAAAGACGTAATCGAAAAAGCTAAAGACAAAAAACCAGAAGCACAAAAACTTCTCAAAGAAACATCATCGGAATTACAAAAAATTTTTAAAGATAATGGTGTATCAGAAAAATCTGTTAAACAAGCCCAAGAATTATTAAAAAAGAAAG